CGAACCTCCCCGCCTCCCGCCCGGGCCACCAAGTGTCTTCTCCCCCTGCCCGCCCCTCCGCCCCCGCCGCCCCGCGCCGCCGTCCCCGGGCCGCGGCCGGGGCCCCGCTCGGCGGGCGAGTTGTATTTATTATGAAATATTAATTATTATTAATTATTATTATCCCACGGTTCCCGCAGTTTTTAGGCATCTCCGTTAGGGTTTTCTAATTTTGTTTGAAGAGGCACAAAGTATAGCTCTTAGTTGAATGTTGGCAGGTATGCTTTCTCTTTTTCTGTGTCTTTCTACGACTGTGTTCCGTGACCCAGCTGTATAGTGTTATATCAGTACAGACGTGTCTAGTTGGCCGTATGAATAACGTTTTCCCTTCTCGTAGTCTCTATGGCGTGTCTTTATGGAGAAGTAAGGTTCTCACGGGTTCCGTTCCCTTTGCGTTTAGCGAGGCCCCGTTCAGGCCATGGGATCTTTCTGTTCTCAGTTGCATGTCGTCTCTTTTTTTTTCTTTTTTCTTTTTTTTTTTTCCTTCCTGTTGGAATATGTTTGTGAGCATAATCGTCATAAATTATGTTCAGGATTTTCAGATTTATTTATATGTGGTTCAAATGAATGCTTCTATTTAAAAGGGGAAATATTTCTACATGTGCATATAGTTTTCCAAGAGTGTACCATTAATTGATTGTTGATAATAAAAACCAAAAGCAAATACGGCACCGCAGCTCTCCTGACTCATTGCCCTTCGGGGCGCGCTGGGGCCGGGTTTGGTTTGATGGAGGACGTCGGGATCGAGACAGAGCCGCGTCCACACCAGGAAGGCCAGAACCGCGGTTCCATCATTAGGCCCTAATTATGCCGTTATTAATTAGCGGCAGACGGGCTGGTTGGGGGCGCAGGGCGGAAGATGCGTCAGCTCTGACCTTTTGTAGCTGCCTCGGCCCTCGGAAACGGCCAAAATTAAGCGATATACGTTAACATTAAAAACTGGGGAACAAAGCGCAGATCGCCCCTTCAGACAGAGCTGCCGCACCCTCGGGCTGCCCGCACCGACCCGCGGAAGGCGACGGCTGCTCAGTGCCCGGGGCACAGCCGGGAGCTGCCGCGGCCTCGATGGGGCGGGCTGAGAGCGGCCCCAGCACTGCCCCGGGACAGCCCCGCACCCCCCCGCTCCCGGGGGCACCGCGGGGTGAGCAGCGGGGACGGCGGGACACTGAACCCTGCCTGACTCTGTCTGGGGGAGGGGAGTGGTGGGGGTCTGGCTGAGGAGCGAATGTGGCAGAGGCAACCCCATGCAGTGCGAGAGTGAGTGGGGAGAGAGTGCCACAGCCAAACGCAGCCAGGAAGGTGGGACCAGTGCTGCTTCACTAAAGAAAATAGAACTGTTTTAAAATGCTGCAGTAAAACATGCAGTCTATTTTCCAGAGGAAAACGAAAACAAAACCAAAACAAAGCAAAAGCTCAACCCTGTATGCATTTCTTGAATATACGATTTGTTGTAATGTAGCTCGCTTTTGCTGTTTTCTACTTTCTTTCAAAAGCCATTTTGGATGTAAGCACAGCTGTGTTTGGGACTGCCCTGGTCTGGCTTGGGATTGCGGTGCTGCTGGTGGCAACGGATGGTGGCAAATGGTGGCAAGGCTTCCCTCTGAGAGTGCAGCAGCACTTGTGTTGGCCCTACCACGAGTCCTGTACCTACTGCTGCCATTCCACAGCATGCATTCATGGCTTGCTTCCGTGAGGAGGTGACATCATACTATGTCTTTGGGTACTTCTTGTCACCTGTTCTTTATTTTGTCTCTAAAACTTGGAGTTTGCTCCATACAAAGGCTTCAGCTTCTGCACATTGAGTCCAGATCTGTTTCTGCTAGGCCAAAGATCATTATCACTCTTAATTTTTACTGCACTGAAAGCTGATTTACATCCTGATCTACCTTAGTCCTGACTAACTAAGTAGGTTGTGAATTTAAATCCTCCCATATTCCCTCATTAAGGTTCAAACTTTGAAAATCTTTTCCAGAGCCGTAACAACTTAAGCCTTAAGTTGTTACTGCAGCCTTAAGTGCTGCAGTGTCTCTCAGTAATGGTTCACGCAGTGCAAAAATCACCTCTCTCTGACTGATTACGATTCTGCATTTATGCAGCAAAGCTTTTCCCTAGTCCTTCTGCCATGCTGGAATGTTCTGTCTGGCCAATTAATCTATCTGAACCCTAAAGCCTTTCTCCAACCATTGCTTCTCGTGTACTGGTCACCACCAGTCAGCCATGCAGGGACCACAGGCCGCATGGGATGCACCTTTCCAAGCACCAGCATGCAAATACATTCACAAACCTTAGTGTCTGCTCAGGCAGGTAGAGGTGGATGGTTTGAAAATGCACAAAGCTTGTTGCTCCAGCCTCTTAGGAGAGGAGCCCTGGCCAGAAGATGCCACATGGCTGCTGTGCAGTGAGAGTCACAGGGGTGAGCTGCTCCCAACCTCGAAGAACAGCTCCAGGCAGAGTGATGGGGCAAGTCAGAGGATGCTCTAGTGCAGAAGCAGGGTAAGGTTTGTGACTGGTGTTCTGACCCTCTTCACTGTATTCCAATAAAAAGCAGTTTGTCTGAGAGTCCAGCATCAACCCAGTATGAACACATCGCTTCTTGAAGAGTTCAAAGACAGATCTGCATGGCCAGTATGGTGAGTTCAGACATCTTTGCAGCAACTGCAGTGTTTTGTTGTCTGCTCTTCTAAATTCCAGGACCAGAGTTCAGGCCTTACACTGCACCCAACTCTGGGCAGTTCTACATGTGCTGTCACTTCCTGCTCTCCAATACATACATTTTGTATGATGAGCCTCTGAGATGGATGGAGGACACTGCAAAAATTAATTTTGCTAGTATAGAACATACAGATGTCATGAAGGAATACTGCAATTAATTAAAAAGTAATTTTCACTGAGAAACAAGGGTATTTAAATGGTTTAATCTTTACATATCTATATGTCCTTAATAAAGTTATCAAACATTATCATCAATTTTTCATGTTTTAAGAGTCAAACATTACTCTGCAGACCTCCCTCATGATCCGTAAAGCAGAGCAGTCCTACGAGGGCCACCCTACGTAGTGGGATCAGATGCCTTCTGCTCCTTTCACCAGTTTTGTTTGGCCCTTTATCAGCTGGCACCTGACAACTGCTAGGAAATTCATTGGAGCACTACAAAAACTCCTCTCCTCCTTAGAAGACCAGCTTTTCTCTTTGTACTTTGCATGAGAGGCCATGAGATGGGACAAGGCAGAACCTGAGAGAAATCCATCTCACTGTGTGGGTTTTCATCCAGCAGCAGCTCAAGGAACTTCAGCTCATGCTCCCATTTCCTTGGAGGAAAATTCCCATGGAGAGAGGAAATCATCACCGGAGCTGACTCTCTCTGTGACTGTTATACTGACACAGAATCACGACTTTTGCATGTGAAGAGGAATGTCATTTCTCACTGCTGCTGCATGCTGAAGTGAGGGTCCTTCCTGCTCCATTCTGAAATGGAGTCAATTACTGAGGTTTCAAGTGGCTAAGAGGAAGAAGATTGAATGCAAACAGGTTATTAGCAGTGAGAAGTGTAGGTGGGAGGAAATGTGCCTGTCCAGGACTCTGAAATGGAGCATCTGCATAAGGTCCTGGCCAGCCACCGGGGTACTACCAGCTGCGGGCAGACCTGCAGCAGTGCTGCCTGCTGGGTTGTTCCACAGGAAAGAACCAGAGTATTTTACCCGTAGGAGACCTGATCTACCCAGGAATCAAAGCACAGCTTCCATGCGGTGTGTACTAAGCACCTTGAGGAGTCAGTCTGCTTCCCAGATCTTCTCCCAGGAGGGTGTTGCTGGGACCCCTGCAGAGAACACCATGCTCATCAGGGTTCAGCTTCAGCCAGGCCCACGTTCCATGTCTCCTCAGCAACACTGGGAGCTGGGAGAGCTGCTACACAGAGCAGCTGTAATTCTTGTTGAGGTGTGTCATCGTGTTAACAGAATCAGATGCAACACGCAGTAACACAGATACACCACAGTCTATCACAAGGTGCGGGTTGTTCTACTTAGATTTTTTGCATGTAGGGTCTGACAAAGCAGTTCAAAATAACCTCCTCAGATCAGTGCTGTCAGGAGAACTCGAAGTGCTGATCTCACTGCATCACACTGCTTCTGGAAGCAGCTGCCACTATAACGCTCCTGCTGTGCTGCCTTAGGAGGGTTCCCAAAATGGGTGAGCTCTGACAAGAGCCAACACCAGGAGTAGTGCTGCAGACAAAATGCCCCAAAATCCAGTACACCAGCACTCTCTCTAATTCCAAAGTTACATACATCCTTTACAAATCTTTATCCAATCACGTATTAACTTCCCTCCACAAATCAGGTGTCCTTATCCAATGACATCTTCGCACAAGCAAAACCCTGTGCAGAGCACCTCTTCCTCCTAGGGACCCTGGACCAGCTCCAAGCGCTCCCAGAGACTGCTGACAGAATACAAGTGTGCAGAGAAAGCAAACTCCTGTCTTTTCTGCATACCTCTTCCTTCAGAGATGCCTGTGTTCAAAACCTTATAACATCAAGAATAAGGTATGTTTGTTCCAAGAACCATGAATTGCTCATATAATGGGGGGAAAAAAATCTATACATTATCATAAGGCAGTGTGATCATTTCTGCCTGAGTGAGAGGCAGGCTTAGTATAGGTAAAAGGAGGTGCTTCAACCCTCAAATAATCAGGCTGAGACCCATCACTATGAGGATTTGTTCAGGGGAAGGTTGCAGCTGGATTCTGTGAACAGCTGAATGTTGAGTAAGAATGTACAGCCAGCACAGTCAGGGCTAATAAAAGCTTCTAAAGCTGATATAAACCCATCCATTTCAAGGTTTAAGCCAACTTCAACTTATTAAAGGTGAGATCTTCAACAAGTATTTCCTTCCCAAAACATGTTTGTGTGCTTTTTTTTTTGTTTGTTTCCTAAGATCATCTTCTGTTACTCAATTCCAGAAACAATTTTCCACGCTGTAGATCACAAATATCAGGCAGTGCTATGTTTCTGTATTTAACAGTAAATGAAAGCATGTCCACCCAAATTTGCTTCATTTACATCTCTCCATTGTCTTGCAGGGCCGGCAGCAGTCCTGTCTGCCTCCACAGGGTCAGTTTCAGCTCAGGAGAAAGTACACTGCACAGCTGAAGTCAAATACTCATGCCTGCAAAGTAATTCATTTTTCCTATTATTACCGATTGCTTCCATTGATCAGTACTTTCACCGCTGCATACCACTAATACATTTAAATGCCAATGTGGGAATTAATTATTCTCATGTATTTCCTTCAGAAGATCATGAAATCAAACTTTTTTCCTGAGATTTTGAGATGTGTACAAAAATTCACGTCCAGATTTATCTTTAAAATTGTTCAGAATCGGTCGTACAAAACCTTGTATGCTTAAAATAATTCTGAACAGCTTTCTTTCTCAGGTATTTTTTTGAAAATATTTCAAAGTACTAAGAATGAGAAAAAATCACTCGAATACTACAGTGAAAACCCGTAATTTCTAAATCTTTACTTGTGAGTTCTGAACAAAAGGAGTCTCTCTAAGCAATGAAAAATACTAACGATACAAGAGATGATTCAATTATATAACTGTGTATTGTAATTCTCAGTGCTTTATAAAAGGCAAAATTCAGATATGCTATACAATAAATTATCATTAAGACGAGACTACGGTTTGGTCTAATAGAATCCCATTATTTAGAAATGGATGAAGAAACCCTATTAGATTATATAGTTAATTTTCTGCCAGTACTGAGGTCACTGCTCTTTCACTCTCGGGCTGGCCTACATGAAAACTGTTGGTACAGCTGAGCATCTTCTTGTGCAGTGGGGTTTTGGAAATAAAGGGGAGCTCTGTGTGGACCATCACTTCCATAAAGGAATGAAAATAATTATGCTGGACAAGACATCTTCATATATTATTTTAAAGAAGAAGAAAATCTACTCCCACTGTGGGGACAAATGCACCAATGGCAACACAACCCTATCAACAGGTATAGGAGGATTAGGGGCCAACCTGGCCAACAACACTGCTGGGCTCTACCATTAAGCACAGAGCAGTCACTGTGGCAGGCTGCCTCCTCTTGCTCCTCAGCCCATGTGTGTGAGCTCTCAGGGCTCAGCTGCAGCTTCGTTCCCGTTCCCCGGAGCTGTTCCCCTCAAGTGGGCCAC